AATTTTTTTTTGCTTTTTATTTTAAAATAATTTTAAAACTCAAACTTGAAACCACTCCCACGAAATTTAAATGGGTAGTTATTTTTTATATATTGATTTTTTTAATTATATTTAATTATAAGATATCTATATTTATTAATCCAAATAAAGTAACAATTTAATATATATATATATATATATATGGTAGTTTTTTATTTTATTTTATTATTTTCGTTTTTTATATGTATATATAAATAGATTTTTCGTTTATTTTAATTTAAAATAATTTTAAAACTCGAATTTGAAACTACTCCCCAATTTGAATTGGTAATTCATTATTTTTTTAATTTTATTTTTTATTTTAAAACTCCAACTTGAAACTACTTCTCGACTTGAATGGGCAATTTTTCTTCTCTTTTTTTGTTTTTTTATAGGTTAATTTTTTTTTTTTGATTTTTATTTTAAAATAATTTAAAAACTCAAACTTGAAACTACTCCCACCCAATTTGAATGGGTAGTTATTTTTTATATATTTATTTTTTGTTGTTTTTTTATTATATTTAACTATAAGATATCTATATTTATTAAATCCAAATAAAGTAACCAATTAATATATTTATATATATATGTTAGTTTTTTATTATATTTTATTATTTTCGTTTTTTATGTGTATATTATATATAAATAGATTTTTCATTTTTTTTATTTTAAAATAATTTTAAAACTCCAATTTGAAACTCCCCAATTTGAATTGGTAATTCATTATTTTTTTTAATTTCGTTTTTTACTTTAAAATAATTTAAAAACTCAAACTTGAAACTACTCCCACCCAATTTGAAAGGGTAGTTATTTTTATATATTTAATTTTCGTTTTTCTAATTATATTTAGTTATAAGATATCTATATTTATTAATCCAAATAAAGTAACCAATTAATATATGTGGTAGTTTTTTATTGTATTTTATTATTTTCGTTTTTTATATGTATTTAAATTCAAAAATAAGTAACCAACAACTAATTATAAACTAAATAATTAATTAGTAACCAATTATGCAATGTGGCATTTTTTTAGGCTGCCACTTGGCTTAAGGAGAGGGTTTTTTCCTCTCCTTTTAATAATATATAGATTTCTCGATTTCTAATCTTTACCATATATATCTATAGTGATTTAAATATTCAAATAATATCTCAAAAATAAATGGGAATTAGCACTCGATTTCGTTGGCACCATGCAATTGAACCAATTCAATTGTTTACTTATTCACTGAGACTGAGTGAATTTGCAAGCCCACCCAACCTATTTTTATTTTAAAATCTCAAGTGGATGAATCAGAATCTTGAGAAAGTCTTTCATTTGTCTATCATTATAGACAATCCCATCCATATTATCTATTCTATGGAATTCGAACGCAAGGAGGAAAAAGGGTCTATGCCGAAAGATAAAAGGGTGCTGCATGTATAAGTCCAAAAGAGCTATGATGACTCTCGAAATGGAATTGGAAGAGCAAGCTTTTTATCATCCTGGCGTCGAGCTATTTTTCCGCAGGACCTCCCCGTGTCCACTAGCGCTCCTGTCCAGAGCGAAGAGAAGGCGAAAAAGCGTCGCCGAAGCAGCATAAGTAGGCTTCTATTGCTACGTAACAATAAAGCAGGATAGCATTTTGCGCCCACATGTTTGAATTTGAGCAGTTTCACCGGATTGCAGGCAGGCTGAGAGGGAAGTGTAGCTAGTTTTGATTGAGCTCCTGACCTTTGACTCACCTGATTCCGAAAGAGTACTTTTGGTTGGTGTCATATGCTTTTCTCGTGCATAGATTGTGTGGCAACGTCAGCAGAAAGGAGGAGAAGACGGAAGGCTGAGAGCAGTGCCCGCTCCCTTGTATTTGGGGGAGTTGGACGGCCGTTCCGCTCTTCGGGACTTTCTTTATTCTTTTTTCGTTAAAACAAATACAACTGAAAAAGACTACTAGGAATTTAGACTGACGGCGTACCTGAGCACTCATGCCTGCAGACCCCTCGATTCTAATACTAAGGCCGCATATCTGTACTCATTAGTAGGAAAAAGCCCTTCACTTCAAAACAATCAATCAGGACTGGTGCCATCCGCGCTTCTTCTGACTATTGAAAGTGGAAGTTCAAGCTTTGATAATTTACTGACATTTCTACATATGTCGAGAGCTCAAATTATTGACATTTGATAGATGCCATAAAATAAATGTCGTTAGTTAATTTACCGACATTTATTTAAATGTCGCAAAATTAACAACATTGAAATTTTCGACATTTAATGTAAATGTAAAATAAATGTCGGTAAGTAATTTTATGACATTTATGTGGCTTATAGCGACATTTATATAATGTCGCCGCATCACATATTTCTTGTAGTGATTACTACTAGAAATCCGGGTTTTAGCGACCACAAAAAGCGACCAACATTGGTCTGTATATGCAAAATACCGACCAAAACCCGTCCAAACAGGCTTGGTCGCTATTTTAGTGGTCGCTTTTGTATACCGACCAAAGTTGATCGCTAATTACCGACCAAAGTTGGTCGCAAAGGTAAAAGGACCAACTGTGTAATTTAAAGCACATACCGACCAACTTTGGTCGGTAACATATTTTAATAATTTAATTTTACCGACCAAAGTTGGTCGGTGTATGTAAATCACGTTATATTATTAATTATTAAAATTTAAAGATTTAACGACCAAAGTTGGTCGGTAAATTAAAATATATATTTTT